CTGCCCACAAGGCGCAAGCCGTCTCGCTCACTCCCACCCGCCCGCCCAACATATCGTAGCGCCCGGGTATCTCTGTCAGAAACTAATGCGCAGTTTTCGCGGGGCGCCCGCGCATGCTCCAGACTAGTAGGGGAAGTGAATTTCGTATGGTGTTTAATTTGACGGGGATGGTTGGCCCGCGCGCAGCAAACAATATGAGGGCCCTCCAGCTGTGCCTGTCGAAACAAATGCACAGTTGTCGCGGGGCGCCCGCGCATGCTCCAGATTCGGAGGCAACGTGTATTTTGTATGTTTTCTTTGCTTGACAGGGATGGGTGGGTTCCGCACAGCGAGCAATATGAGGCCCTCCCCGCCGTCCCCTGTCAAAAACCAAGGCGCGCGGGGCGCCCGCGCATGCTGCAGATTTGGAGGCAACGTGTATTTGTATTGTTTTTTGTCGGGGACGGTGTGGGGGCGTCGGCATGGGTTTGGGGTGGCTGCTGGTCGTGTGGGGGAGGCGGTGTTTCTTAATATGGGAACAGTGATCAACCTCTCCGTAGGGGAAGAGGGAAGATGTAAGAGGAAACCCGCTAAACCACCTCCGCCAGAGGGCTGTTGGTATAAACTGAACAATGTGGGCCTATGAAGATCGCCTTAGGGAGTTGGTCGCTTCATTTTCCCACCCTTTTGAAAACACCTCCCGAGGACGACTGTCAGAGGTACAGAGCTGTTCACCCTCTTTGCTCAGCAGCCTTGCTGTTTATTAATCAAGGCAAGGATCAGCTGACCGCAACCCTGCCGCGCGCTGCCCAACATGGCCATCTCATGTCAACCGTTGGCGGCGAGCACAGAGAGGTAACGCAAGGGGGGCGGCCTTTGAGAAGGTAGGGAGCTTCTCGGAAGCCTTCCCGGCCTCCAAAGAGCCGTCTTAGGCGCCTCGGGCCATTCTAGGATCACCGAGCACGTTCCATTACTCGCAAGGGGCAACATATGTTCGAATGTAGTATATCTTAGATTCCCCGCGGCGGATCCTGGCCATTTGCGAGCAGTTACTCTGCGAATTGTGGAACGCGCACGCCTAATTCTAGGAAGACCCTTGTCGTCTACAAAGCCGTCCCGATGAGCAGTTTTCTTGTTTCTTATTTTGTGGTTGTTGTAGTTGTAGTTGTAGTTGTAGTTGTATTTGTTGTTGTTGTTGTTGTTGTTGCTGTTGTTGAACTCTCATTCTTGAAGAATAATTATTGTTGATCCCCCCCCACCGGTGCACATTGATTTTTTTCGATTGAAGTGCCACCCCCGGGGCTCGCACCTTGTTTTTTCTCAAGGAAAGTCTTCCTGCTCAAACTGTGCCCCTGCCCCCCGGGCTACAACAACAACGGCTCCCGCCTGAGACTTCCTCGATTTTTACTCAGGACCCCCGCTCCCGCCTGAGACTTCCGCGCAATTTACTCAGGAAAGGCGCTCCCGTTTGAGACTTCCTCGCAATGTAATCAAGACCCCCGCTCCCGCCTGAGACTTCCGTGCAATTTACGTGGGAACGGCGCTCCCGCCTGAGACTTCTTCGAATTTTACTCAGGACCCCCGCTCCTGCCTGACATTTCCGCGCAATTGACTCAGGAACGGCGCTCCCGCCTGAGACTTCCTCGCAATTTAGTGAGGACCCCCGCTCCCGCCTGAGACTTCCGTGCAATTTGCTCAGGAACGGCGCTCCCGCTTGAGACTTCCTCGCAACTTAGTCAGGGCCCCCGCTTCCGCCTGAGATTTCCTCACAATGTACTCAGGACTGCGCTCTCGCGTGCGACGTCCTCACAAATTATTCTGGAATTGCGTTTCGGCGCTCAGGAACCACGCACGCGCCAAGGACGCCTTCACAACGTGGTATCTTCCCTCTTCCTTCGTCCTTCCCCCTCCCCTTCCTCCCACTCTCCCTCGTTCTTCCCCTCCTCCTCTTGCAGGGCCCGCGCCAATTCCAATGGCGGGCAGAGAGATGTACGCCCCCGAAGGATTGTCCGCCCGTTCCGGTTTGCCCGTACGTCTAAGCCCGCCGGCCCCAGCAAAGAGAAATAATCCCCCCGAAAGGGGTGTGATCGAAGACGAAGAGGGCGGGTATCGAGGGTGTAGGGTATACGTGTTGAATGACTCGCGGGCAAGTAAGAGCGTACAGCCTTAACATGGTTGTTGTTGTTGTTGTTGTTGTTGTTGTTGTTGTTGTTGTTGTTGTTGTTGTCAAACGGGCTTTTGCGAGCAACTTTTTCGAACTTCTGCGACAACGGTTGCGCACCTGCCAGGGCCATCATCCCTGTCAAATAATACCATCCGCGCATGTGCCCAGCATGGCACAATTGCACCATGCTGGGCACATGCGCGCCCCGAATAAGTGACCAAGTTCTGTGGGTGTGTACCCCACGCCAGTGTAGTAGCCACGGTCGTCCGCACGCCACGAAGTGAAGTGTCCCAACGTCATAGGGCGGGAAGCTGGGTTTGGGTGGTCGCGAAGAGTCGTTTGGATATTTGGTAGAGCTTGTAATGCCCCCCCACGAAGTGGGGGTATTGCCTGGTGTCGTATGAAAACCCTGGCACTGGGGAGAACACCACGCGTTCGGGTAAAATGATTGTTGTTGTTGTTGTTGTTGTTGTTGTTGTTGTTGTTGTTGTTGTTGTTGTTGTTGTTGTTTTGTTTTGCGTGCGCGGCTCCTCCCGGGCCCGAAGACGACGGCCTTTGTCCTCGTAGCCCGAGATCGAGGAAGAGCACGCCGGGAGGGAATGCATCGAGGAGGCATCGCGGAAGATCGTACCGTCGCCTCCTCCTCCTCCTCCTCGTTTTCCTCCTCCTCCTCCTCCTCCTCCTCCTCCTCCTCCTCCTCCCCCTCCTCCTCCTCCTCCTCCTCCTCCTTCCCCTCCTCCTCCTCTTCCCCCTCCTCCTCTTCCTCCTTCTCCTCCTCCTCCTCGCGGAGGATCGCATCGTCGGCGGTTTGGTCAGAAGGGCGCCCCCCTCGAGCGCCGTCCCCCGGGTACGCGCCGCCCGAGCCGACGGTTCCTATAGTTCGTTCCGGCCGCGCCTCCCATGTAGCGCGGCGCCCCGAGCCCGCTCGTTGGCCTTGGATCGGGCCGGACGAAAGGGGGGGAAAAGGAAAAGGGGGGGGTTTCGAAATGTGCTGCATGCGGCTGGTTTCGGCCCCACCGAGGGGCCCATTCCTCGATACATAGCCGCCTCCGGCGCCGGGAGGCGCCGGGAAAATCAGCTCCATGAGCTGATTATCACCCCCCCCCTTTGCTATCCCCCCCCTTTCGCCCGACCCGATTGGAGCGTGGGCCGCGGCCGCGCGCGGTCGTTCTGCGAGCGGAGAGGGCATTTTTTTGGCAGACCTGCATGGTCTGCACGGCCCCGCCGGTCCGACGCCTCGCTTCCTGACTCGTCGCCTGACCTCCGCTCGTCCTCTTCGCCTCGCCCCTCTTCTCTTCTTTCCCCCCCCCTCTCTCAGGCTCCTCTGTCCTCCGCCTGGGCCCCACCTCGGGGCGACAGATCTCGCGGCGAGACAAGAGTTGCCGTTTTTTGGGCACCCGTGTGCTACGCATCTCCCCGCTCACCGCGGAATTCTCCCGCTTCTGAGCGCCTATCTCCCTATCCCCCGCGCGGCCGCCCTCTCCTCCTTTGAATTCTCTTGCACGCCGGACAATTTGCCTATCGGTGCCTCCGGTCAGCCACGCGCTGGTGCGGATTGCCTCCGCCTCGCCGCCGACGAAAAAAGTGCTACGCACCTCACGTTTCGCCATCCAGGCCCTGCCCCGGGTGGTCTCGCTGGGCTGCCAGCAGGGGGCCGCTTCCAGCAGGGAGTGGGCGTCAGGCCGCTCGCCCTCGCCCGTCAGCACAGTTGAAAGTCGTCGGCCACGGCGTGGGGTGCTCGGCATCGGTCTCGAGCTTGCTCCTGCCGAGAGACTCGGAGGAAGCCAGGCAGGCGCCCGATGGTCACAGCTCATCGTCGCCAGCAGCATCCCATCCCCGACTGTGCTCTCCCAGCGTACCCATTTTAGGTGCCGGGGGGTGGGAGGGGGGAAGCATCGACCAGCGGGGTTCCGGGGTTATCCCGTGGAGACGGGGATGGTTATTGTTATCCAGAGTAGTGTTGTTTTTGTTGGTTATCCGATCTCCGTTTTATGCGTTCTGGCTTACGTTGGGTCTGTGATTTGCAGGGTAGGGTGTGTAGATCAGGAATATCAATGGAGCAGAGATGCCAAATGACACCCAGTGATGTTAGGGAGCAGGCCCCGTCTCATGGCCCGTAGCTGCAACGACGTAGGGTCCCCCCTGCTCCAGAACCAAGATGTCGCCTCCCTCTGCTGAGATGGATTCAGCTGTATAAGCAACTTAGCACGTGTTTTAGTCTTCTCGGGGGCGTTCAAGAGGGGGGTGGATGACTGGGGGGGGGGGGGCTGGATATCATGGACGGAGCCATGATCGTCCCGCTGGTCCACCGCTCGTCCGCGCACATGCCGCGGGCCGTGATTTGCGAACCTCCTTCGTAGACGCCCCTCTTGGACGCCCCTGATCTTCCCTCCCTGAGAATTCTTGGCCCGCGCTTCCTCTGTGTGCTCTACCGCTGGATACCACAGGATCTGGTGTCTGGGTCCCAGGTCCAGTCTGCAGGCATTCTGCCATCTGTGAGCTCTTTTCAGGCGGCAGACGTGCCGAGTGGGACGGCTTGGAAGTGGGACGAGAGAGATAAGTGGAATCCGAGCACGTGGGTCAGTGGTGCAATGTGAGAGGGCAAAGAACGAGTGCACACGATAAGAGGTTCAGGATAGAAGTACCTCTAACTTTAAGGTGTTGAGGGCCGCGAATTACATGAGTCAGGGATCGCTGGGACCAGAGTGTGTCTGACACCCTCTTTTATCCACTCTCTGCTGCAAGATCAGGGCAGGAGGGAGACGCGTTGAAGAATGAGGCAGGGGAGGTTTGGTGGACTGTCGACCCGCTCTGCCACGCTGGCACTTAGCATGATCCTGTCTCCCCCCCATCGCAGCCCATCACTGGTATCATCGACACTGGCTCGTATGAACTGGTCGTCTTCCCGGAGCAGTGCACTACCTGCGGGAAGGCGGCGAAGTACAACCCCGAGAGGACTGCTGGGGCCTGCGCTCGGGACAGTAGATGGACAATACTTTCGAACCCTGACGCGCTTGAGGGGCATTCTGATCATTACCCCCCGCCGCCCCCGAAATCAATGCTGATCGCAGTATGGGTGATGGCTCTGGGGCTCGAATACTTCTGTCCACTCCAGACCCTTCCACTGCCGCACCCTCAGTAGAGGGCCGTTTTTAATACATGCTCTGCGTGCGGATCATGTATAAAAAATGCAGGGATCTAGCATTAAAAACAACGATGAGTTCATGCATACATTTATCCATAAAGTAATCATGTATTCAAAATCCGATGTTTTAAACATCCTATGTATTAGAAACTGCTCTGTTAGGGGGCGACATGCGAACCCTACCCCTCCCCCCACGATTTCTGAGGGGGAGGGTGGGGTTCACTTCGCTCGGGAGCTCCCGAACGAAGTGAACCCCACCCTCCCCCTCAGAAATCGTGGGGGGTAGGGGTAGGGTTCGCATGTGGCCCCCCATCTGTCACCGGCGTCTTTCCGTTGTTTCCAGTGCTGACCCCCCAAGCTGCGGCTCTAGTGGTGCCGACATGCCTCGCAGCCCATCCTTCGATTCGTGCTCTGCCACGGTGTCGGCCTCTTACTCCAGAGACTCACCGCTGCCGATCAGTGGGCCTCTTCACGCGCTCCCCCAAATCAAATAGCGGCTGCTGTAGTCATTACCCGGGCAATCTCAGTCGAAACCGATGGTAAAGATGGACATATCAGTTTTGACTGTAGTACCCCGGGCAACTACTTGCAGCTTTCGGCCCGCACCGTGTCTGGACACCAGGCCGAGCGCACTAGTTGAGAACCCCCTGGGCTTTGATTTGTGTGGTGGGTCGAGCGAGCCCGCGTCGAGGGAAGAAACACGGGGACCATTACCAAGATGTCGCGGGATTTTTTTCGATGCCGATCTCGGTCATGGTCTACATCGGCCGCCGCCGAGTCGCGAGGATGATCCACGAAACGACGCTCACCAAGATCGACGGTGACCAATATCGACACGGCGCTTCGCGTTCCGCCTTGGTCGTGGTCCCCGCTTTCTTCCCCTCTATCGCGCGCCACGCCCCATGAAAGAGGAGGAGGAGGAGGAGGAGGAGGGGGAGGGGGAGGAGGGGGAGGAGGAGGAGGAGGAGGAGGAGGAGGAGGAGGAGGAGGAGGAGGAGAAGGAGGAGGAGGAGGAGGAGGAGGAGGCGGAGAAGGAGGAGGAGGAGGAGGAGGAGGAGGAGGAGGAGGAGCAGGAGGAGGTCTTCTGGAAGTCGGCTGTCCGCGCCCTCCAGGGCCCAACGATCGTCCAGCCCCCGGTGCGCACGACGGCACGAGCCCGAGGACACTCCGCCACTCTGGCGGCGCTGGCGCACTGGCCGACCTCCACCGAGCCTCGGCCTGCGGTGGGCCGCGCTGCGGGGCCGGCGCGCCGGTTTCGGCCAGTCCCGGGGCCCCCTCCGAGGGGGGCCCGACCCTTCTTGCGCCGCGTGTGCTCGGGGCACCTCCCGCCCCGCGGCGCGCGGCCGCCCGCTCTGCCACTTCCCCCCCCCCCCTCTTGCGCGGTGGCCACTTCGCTACAGTGGTGCCCCCGTTGGGTGAGCTGCATCCGCCAGCGCAGGCGACCCCTGCCGAACCGCCGACGAAAAAAGTGCTCGGGGCACCGAAGCGGAGCTCGGGGTGTGTGTGACAACTCTGGAGCGGAGTCGCCCGCATTCGGCTGCCCGTGCGAGGCTGCGGCGCACCGCATCTGCCGCCCTCTGTGCCTGCTGCTCGCCGTGCCATGTGCCTTGGTGGTCGGCTGCGGAGACTGGCTCGGGTCCCCGAGTCGGCGGGTGGGGGGGGGAAGACATGCCGACACCGACGTCCACCCCTCGCTTTCGCCTTTCTGGGCCTCCTCGGGTCCCTCTGTCGTCACGGCGGCAAGATCCGCATGGGAATCCCAGTCAAAGCTGACCCCGGGGGAGGCCTCGGGAGCGTTGGTATTGGTATTCTTCATGTCCCCCCCTGTATGTGGCATCCTTCATGTATTGGTATCCTTCCTGGTATCCTTCGGTCTTGGTATCCTTCATGTCCCCCCCCCGAATCCCGTGGCCCGTGGCCTGGTGCCCCCCTTCCCACCTAAAACGTACCCGCCACCTGCCGCTGGCGACGGGCCGGACCCGCGGATGCACTGAGCCGCCAGGTCTCCACGGCCCGCGGCCGGGGGGGGGTCGCGGGGCCTCGCAGCATCGGCGTGGTGTTCTTCCCGTGGCTGGGTGCTCGCCGTGTGCTGCCGTTGTTAGGGGGCCACATGCGAACCCTACCCCTACCCCCCACGATGGGAGGATGGGGTTCACTTCGTTCGGGAGCTCCCGAGCGAAGTGAACCCCACCCTCCACCTCCGAAATCGTGG